CTTTCCTCTTATCAAAAGTTGAGCTGTGATAGCTAGCAGTGAGGTTATGTAGGGGTAAATAGGCAGGGACATGAAAAACCAGTCTTCTGATGCCATCAAGTGAAATTTGCGCTAAAACCAGGGAGGAATTTGAAATCTGCAGCTGCATACGAAGATTATCACTATTATGAAGATTATATACTATTATCATTATGAGGTGAATGATGTGCAGCATTGCTGTGCAAACCTGGAAGAAAACACCGGTCCTTCCTGAAACGGGAGGAGATTCTGCAGAACTCACCTCTTCTCCTGCTGCTTTTTTCCCCCCTTCAAACACTGGCAGAAATCAGCAGTGTTTTATAGTTATATCCAGAGGGTTCTCCAAATGCAAGGGTCACAAAATGGCTTCAGATTTCAGCAAATTGTTCTAGCGTTCTTCTTAAACTTAACTGTCAGCTTTTAAAAGCACTCTTAAGAACAGCCTTTGTGGTTGATTCATTCTCGTAAGATCTTCCGGCATTAACAGCTTGGCTGTTACAAGGCTGAAAAGGGTGCTGTTTTCCAGCAACGATCCTAGAGTCATATGTATATAGGCTGTCAGCCCCTAAACACCTTGTGTCTGCACACTCCATAGGGCACAAAATAGCTCTTCCTTCACTTAGGTGCCTATGTGAGCCAACGTCTTTTATTCCTCAAAACGACTGAAGACATTAGAATTCGTGCATGTATCACAACAGACCAGAATCATCTGTTTTTACTATGTGCTCTTACAGTGGTATGTTATATTTGATCCCGCTCCCACCTGCAACAGACGCGGAATCAACCCCTACATACAATCGTATGAGGATACAGTTGGAAATCCCATCACTTCAATGGAGCATTATCACCAAGGACATACTGCTGTGTGGGGAGGTACTCTTCTACCTTCCAAGAATTGATACGATTGCAAAGATTTTTCCAAACTTTAACAGGTTAAAACCTAAAGAAAAGGTATCCCAGAGGAATGTAACCACTGTCTGCTCTACCAACAGAGCCCAAAGGAGAGGAGACGGCCTGGCAGGCAAGTCATGGAGGTTACCCAGTTTCTAACTTATCAGACTACAGCAGTAGAAACCCACTTCAGTTTTACCCTGTTGAAATGCCGGGGGGAAAAGATAATTACTTGGATGACAATAGCATAAACGCAATTAGACGCTTGACCTTAGTGTTTCTTGGTCACATGCACAGAGCTGAACTCATTGCTAAATTTGGAATTGGGAAGTTCTTCTTCCCCCACCCCCACCAAGTTATTTGCACTTTCTCTGCAGCCCTGGTAAGGATCCTTTCCTAGGACAGACGTAATCTCATCCCTTGAAAGTGATGTTCTCACCTCCTGGGGGGGCCTTTGGGTACCCAGCCTCAGTCCCCTTTGTTACCTGCTTCTGTAACTTTGATCACCATTGCATGCACCATAAAACACCTCTTTGACACACTTGTTAGCTTGAATTCACTCCCATGGAGCTTATGTTGTCCACCCCTGAGAAGACCATGCGAGGTGAGGACAACTGCAACAGTAGTTAAACTCTACCACATAAACGTACAGAAGGATTACACTGTAGATTGAAAGCCATACTGTGTTACAGTATGAAAAATGTGCTTCCTCGTGGGCAGTGGTAAACTACATTACTCAAGTGAAGTCTGTTTCCTTCATGCTCCACTGCCCCAACCCTCTCCAAGAGACCACACCAAACCAAGTGCATTTTTGACCAGAGTCCCGTGTAAGCAAACACAGCTGCTAACTAATGATAAGACCCAAAGCTCACTGAAATCCAGAGAGATACTGCAGTCACTTCTGTGCACTGGTTACCATTTCCTAAAAATCATGTCCATCACTGACACAGCAGTGATGCTTTTGCTGACAGTAGCAGTAGGAAGTTTTATAGCTGAATGGATTCAGGGACTGAACCCCTCTTGTCACTTTGGTGGTAGGACCTCAACGGGGCTAAGTCATACTGCGGTAGAAATGGAGGGCAGGAAGGAACCACGAGAGAACTGCCTGGTCCATGACTTTTCCAACCCTGAAACACAGCTAAAATGCTATAAACAGCAAATAAGGCACCCACCCCCAGAGACAGAAGACGCTTACTATAGTGAATTTTGCCTGATGTGTGACCAAACCTGTCCTAAAAATGGCAAAATGCTAAGCCAAGTGTAATTCCATTGCTCTGAAGTGGACTGAGCATTTCTAGTCCACCCCAACTTTATTCTTACTTGTTCTTATAAAGCCTAAAAAAAAGGACATCCCTTAAGCTCTGTAGGATGCCTGTCCCAGTGCTTTATTTCTCTTTGCGCTTGGAAAGGTCTTCCTAACCTTCCCTGCTGCAAAGTCAGCTGGTTCCTAAGGGGAAAGGCTGCAGAAGCGGGCACACTGGCTGCAATCACATGCAGCTCCCCTCTTCTTTGGGCAGCGGACTCCATCTCTAGTGCTGTGAATTTGCAATCACTCACCTCAGATGAACTGAGCTGAGACAAACAAGCCAGAGCTAGTACCCTGGAATACTCCAGGCAGGAGGCAGGGGGAATATTTGAGCGCCCAAAGGAGGAGGATGAAGTGATGCTTACTCCAGATGCAGAGTTCTTCGCTCTCCTCTTTTAGATGCGCTGATTTCCTGCTGGCGAAGGGTACCACACTAAAATCAGAGGCAACCAAAGTTGCCTACCCACAGTAGCAGATTCAGCCTAGCACTAGAGAGATGGAAAGCTTCCATATGCCATGGTGACAAGTTCAGTACAGCCTCTTATCCATCCCCTCCCCCTGCCAGGCACACTGCCCCCACATCAGCACTATCAGTGAAGGCAGGCATGCATCTGGAGGAAAACCACACTGACATGAACATGTTGTTTTGAAAGCCTGGCTTTTGGCTCAGAGTTACATATTCCAACACTAAGGCTAACATTGGGAGGACTGGCAGAAGAAAGAGGTTGCCAGATTTACTCTCCCTCTGCACCATGGTGTGTTGCAGGGGGAGGAGTTCAAAATGGCCCCTGTGACAGCTGCCAGCATCTTCAGGACAGCTGGTAAAAGAGAGGCTTATTCCTCCCAGATACTCTTCACTGAGCTCTTTCCCAGGGTGAGAAACGGATCCCCCAAGCCTTTATCATCAGCAGGATCCTCCTGAAGGACCATTTCCTATGCAGAAGGTATCACAACGTTCCCGTTTCTCTTCCGCCTCTTTCATTCTCGAGCCCAGATCTCCCAGCTTTGAGCTCACAGTTGCCATGATAGGCTTACAGCAGAAGGTATTTGGCTATCACCTACATGGCCCAAGTTCCTAGTAAGTAAAACTGAGGTCTGGCTTCCTCAGCTATCTTAGAAGTTCTCCTGGTGAGAAGACAAGCAAGTCTCACCATTGGCAACTGGGAGCCTGGAGAGGATTGTTATGAGCCTTCCACAGCCAACAGAACTCTCAGCATTACAGCCTTTGCCTTCGGACCAGGCAGCACCACAGCAACCACAAACCTAAACTGTGCCAGTGATACCAGTAGCTGAATACTTGGAAATATAAACTGGGGATGCTCTTCCCCGCCTGCCATTTTGGCGACGACACTTTACCCTTGATGGACCTGCCTTGAGCACCTTATCTATCTAAAACTGCCTTGACTGCTGCTGCTGCTGAGATTCCAGGAACCGGCGAGCAGCATAACCCTCTGTGCTGCCGATGTCCACGGTGCAGCCTGGCAGCCCACTGATTTCCACGGCAGACAGCAACAGGGCAAGTGCAGTGGAGGGAGCAGCAGGCAAGTGGTTAACGCATGCCGTGAAGAAATATACATGCATACACTGCCCCAAACAGCCAGATCCTCTCATGTTGACATTTTCCATTCAGTTCCACTAGAATTAAAACGCTCATAATAAAAACCTGGCAATCAAAAGCAAAGAAATTGTCACCAAAGCAAGATTCATTTCTATCTATATCGTTGACCAGAAGTCTTTCTGCCTCTTACAAGCAACGTTAAATGCCATCCATTACAGCAACAAATGCCAACCAAGTCCCTTTTTTTCCACCTGTAATTTTAAAAGTACATCTCCCGTGCAGAAAGCTGTGTGCTTGGCAACCTCTGCATCTCCCCTCCTGACAAGTAGCAGAAATGCTGCATACTAAACTCTCTCCTGTAATGACATGGATTCCCACACCAAAGACAAATTCTAAAACTACCCAGGCAAAACTTCAAATAACCTGCAAGGTATTTAACAAACCGGAGGCAAAAGCTGAAGTCAAACCCTCAAAGCATACAGAGAGAGAGAGAGAGAGAGAAAAGAAATGCCCTCTGTTTGACCCAAAATAAAGGTCTACCAGAACAGTTCTGCATAGGAAAGAAAATGAATTACCATTGTGGGGACCCTCAGTCATTTAGAGTCTCCAGTCAAGGCTGAGAGCCATTCTGAGACTGCAGGTTTTTCCTCTAACTTCACTCCCCAGCTCTGCGAGGAACTAGTTAAAAATGACATCACTGCTCATACTACCCTCCTCCCCCTCCCCATTCACTTGCTAAAAAAGCTGAGGCTGCTCCTCTCCCCCTGCATTGGCTCCAGATTTGGTCCTTGATCCTTGCCAAGTTCCCGGTCTGCAGTTGACCGTGCCGGGTGGGTGTCAGTGCAGGACGGAGGATGCACCGTCTCTGCATGCTCTTACAGCATCCCCGCTGGCACCCACTTGAGAAATGAAATAGCCTTTCCCTTAAGAAATCAGAAGAGGTCTAACCTCGCGATGTATAATGCATTACACAGCCAGCTCCCCTTACAGAAGGCAAACAGTCTTCCTCTTTGAAGCAGGAGGGAGAGAGACCCTCCTAGAGGCTCTGCCTTTTCCCTCGTCTTCCTTAAAGGAGAGGACCCTCTCTGTGGTTTGCTGCATCCTCCTTGCGTTAGGACTGCAATCTATCTTTTCTTTTTTTTTTTTTTATTTCCCTCCCCCTGAGCGTGACATCATCAGACACCAACTCTACTTCTGTAATAAAAAAAGGATCCCGAGCAGAGCTACCTGGGACGAGGTCATCTGGAGGACCCAGGCGATGCTGGCTCCTGAGCAATTGTCGCTTCTTACAAAACGCTCCGCTCTTACACAGTGTCATCGGGATGTAATAACCCTGCGCTTGCTGCGGACCAGGATGCCCAGCTGCCGGGCTGAGATCGCTCTCGTTACCATCCCCGCTGGCTCCACTGGCATCGACAGTGAGCAGGTACCTCCGGAGCGCTCCCCTGGTACCCACGACTCCCCTCGCAACTCCAGTTGTTCCCCTCCCCTCACTGCTGGGAAGGATGCTGCAGCAGAATCCCTCGGCCAGCACTCCCAGCTGCTACAAAGCAGCCAGGCTGCGAGCAGGCAGCGCACAGGCTCCCAGCTCTCCTCCGCTCTCCGAAGGTTTCAGCCGAAAGCATCACAGAAGGGAGCCTTCACAAAACGCTCTCACCCCCGACTGATGGCTGCGGGAGACAGCAGCTCATGGCCGAGCCGGGGGCCAGCCCCAGCGCAAGGCCTGTTTGCTGCCGAGGGCGCCCGCCGCCTTATTTTCCCTCCCTGCCTCTTCTCTCCTGGGGTAGTGCTGGGGCTTGTGCTGAGCTGGCACCAGGGTGGACGGGGTGAGCCCCGCTGCCGCTGACGGGGTGTGGGACGGACGGTGGCTCCCCGGGCTCCGCAGCCTCCCTCACACGCTCCCGTGCTCACGGCGGCGGCCGCAGCACCGGCAGGAGAGAGGAATCTGTGTGTACGTGGATATGTATAACATATGCTTTCCTATACCTACTATGTACACGGAGAGCTACACGCAGATACAAACACAGACGTGCGTCCTGCATCTCTCAGGGCTAGCAGCAATGCAGCAGACGTATCAAATATTGCACAAGTAACAGGACCGATGGGAAAAGGCTGCATTTGCAAACATGCTCAGAGTCATTTGTGCACTACCTGCCTATACAGGCTGCACACAAATACAACCCTTGCTGCTCTGTTCATTACAGGTGCATATTTGCCATAGAGCTGTGAAAGCTTCCCAAAAGTCATGCAAGCTCCTCTAGGTGTAGTGATGTGCAATGCACATGTCATGTAAGGGTACTTCTTTGCACACTAGAAATGTCTTACATGGGGAGACCGCAAAAAGTCTTTCAGCAAGTAACCCCCCAGCAGCCCTCTGAATTAGGAATGTGCTGGTGCGTTGGGTGCCATAGGAAATCCCTGCTAGGGACAGGGAGCCAGCAGGAAGTTGAAGGATGTCAGTCATAATCCTGCCCCAGGGTTTATTCATAACTCCCTCCCCCTTCTCTCCTTCTTCAGAGCTGTGTTTTGCATGCGGGCTGGTAACACATTCACATCAAACACCGGAGCGCTTCTAAATGAGCCAGGGTTGAAAACCAGACGTCTCCTGTCAGCTGGGACAGAAGAACATTACCCACTCAGCAAAGAGCAGGTGGTGTTACCCTGGGATGGGATTCCCACTACGGTGAGTCTGCCTCTCCATCTTTTAGCAAGTTCATGGCCTTGAAGGTCCTTTTCTCCAAATCACAGCCCTGCCAGGCTGCACACATCTGCTCCGGGAAGGCAGCAGGCACAGGCTTCTGGCACGAGCAGGAAAGAGCCCAAGACTGAGGAGGGATGGCTCTGGTGGATAGGGATGTGGGGACCATCTTTGAAGCTCCTCCGGTGTGAACCTTCAGGTAAATACAGAAGAGCGTGTCCTCTGTCACCACTCATTAATCAAACCTCAGTTTGCTCACCACTCTGATAGGGCTATCACAGTCATTAGCAAAGGGGGATCCTACGTACACGTAGCAGCATCAATAACATCTCTGGAGTAAGATCGATTATACATCATATACTACATCAAAAGAGAAAAAAGCAGAAAGTGTGCCAATTCACTAGATAAATCTCCGTACTTCCCTTCTGAATGAAGTAACTGTTTAACCCAGCTTCTTAAGGAAAAAAGGCAAACCTGCTGCCTGTCCCCTGCACCCCATCCCTGTAATTTTTGAGTTCCCTGCCCAAATTTGCCAGAATAATTTGATTACGTTCTACATAATTGCATTCCTCCAAGTTTTAGGTGTAGAAAAAATAAAAACAAAACAAAACAAATCAGTGCTGTCCTCGCTGAGGACAGCCAGCTAAAACTCATCTATTGCACTCTCTCCTGTGAACATACTGGCTTTCTGACCCTGGGCTAGTAGTGGTCCCCTTGCCCTGCGAGAGGGAAGGGTGTCCTGTGGCTCTTCTGAGAAGGCAGAGAGCATTTCAGAGAGTAAAAGACAAGTTGACAAATCTACAAGAAGTCCTTACTTTTTGGTTTTCTTTGATTAATGGGACAATTTGTTTATTGTTTCTGTTTTCTCTTCCTAAATCTGCTTCTCCCAGGTGTGTCAGCACTTTGGAGGTCAAATGCATATGTACTTTAGTCCCTGAAAAAAACAATGAATGTCCCCTTCTCATTTTACTTTGGTTCTCCTAAGAGATGGCATTGATTTTATCTGTAGCCAGGAGCATTTGCAGACTGCCGACTGGTTATAATGGCTCCCAAACCCAACAAGTTCCACGCTCGTTCCCAGTCATGAGATGTTTTTGCAGGAAGGCAAACAAACCCGTTCCTGTAAGAAGGAACAGGCTAACAAAGTGCGGGACTGGGAGGGTGGAAAGAACCCAACATAAATAAATGAGGGCTGAAACTACATCCAGAGTTCCCAAACCTCCCGAACAAAGAGGAAGAAAACTTTCCAGCCAGAAGAAAGAGGAGCTTGCCCACCTCTCCCATCATTTCCCCTCCTATTATACTGATATTAACTAATAGTTTCACTTGGCAAATGCAGATTGTTTCAAGTATTTGGGTGACTGAGTTGAAGATCAGTGCTCAAATAAATGAGCACCAAGTAGCAGCACTGCCTTAATGTATGCATTTCAGTGTACCTTAGGGTATCTCCAAAGTAAATGGGGTAGAATATCCTCCATACTATATGAATTCTCTACTTGCCTTAGCAAACGCACCTCATTCATGATTTCCAATATCCTCTTTAATCCAGCACTATGCCTCCCACGAGCACAGTTTAACAAATGTATTGTATCATATAAATGGGTGTTTCCCATTTTGAGAATCATTCAGAGGTGAGCTGAGAGTCCCGGACTACTTTTCTGCTTTGACCATTCTTTAAACGCAATCAAGTCTGGTAACAGACATGAAGAAGTCAGCAGATGAATGTCACACATCTACATCCTCTGCTATTTTTAACATTACAGAGTGTACTGAAAGGAAGAACTGAAAGTCCTCTTCTTTAATGATGTCCCTACAATTTTCAGAAATAATCCAAATTTTAATACTGTTTCATTTCAACCCAAACTGTTACAAAGTAAATTAAGGTCATGGCTGTCTGTCACTTCCCCAAATTACTCTTGAGTAAAGACTTCCCTCAGCCAAATAATATCAGTCTAAATAGGAACTCAGTCTCTCCTGTTTCATTAACCCAGGGAAGTTTCAATTTCAAAGCTGACTTGGACTACATAAAAGTTAGCTTTTAAGCAGAAGCAGTGTGAATACTTCTCCCTCCCCTCTATTTTACCTTCTCAAGGAAAGAAAGAAGAAAGTAAGACCCAGTACCAGTTCTGCTGACCTGACACAAGAGGAGGCAGAACAGTGTGGCATTCCTCTGAGACGAAATCTCAATGCCATTTTTTCATTGCCTATTTTCCTTCCTGCTCCACTTGACTACGTGGTTCCCTTAAAACCAGGCTGCTCCAGCCTGCTGCTCCCATTTCACAGTGTTGTCCTTGGTGGGGGCAGCTCCGAGCATCCCAATGACAATTCCATTGACCCTAACTGGGGTTAGGCTTCTCATTCAGTCAGGCCCTCATACACAGACATAGCCCAGCATGGTGCTGCTGGAAGGTGAGAAATGGAGACAAAAAGAAGAAAGGAGAGCGAAATCTGGAAGGGAAAGACACGAGGGAGGAAGGAGGGGGGCTATCACCACTTTCCACGGGCCTGCCACACGGTTCGAATGGCAGCCATGCACCAGGCACATGACACAGCTCATGTGTTCACCGCGTCACCTTTGCCGCACTTAATTCACCACTGCTGGATTTCATGTCCCCAGCAGGCAGTGGCCTCAGGGACAGGCATAGACCTAATTCCAGCTTCCAAGTCTTCACGCCAGGCTCCTCGCAAAGGCGGGTGTCAACTTTAACATTCCCCTTTTAAGCTTTTAAAACTCTTAGGGGAATAGCCCTAGCACAGCTATTCCCTCTTTCTTTTACTTGCATGCCTGAAAAGCCCGGCTGCATCGATTGCCTGTTCCCATTTTGGCCCTGACAGCCAGACCAGGGTCACTGCAGCCCCATGCCGGGAGCTGGAAGCAGCATAGGACACGGGAAGGCCTGTCTCGCACCTCCCAGTTCCTCTTAACCCTGACCTTTCCTGTCTGTGACTGGACATCCCCATCTACACTCTGCTGCACGCTCTGGAGCTACAAAGTGACTGTTGTAAATTCAGGCAGCTGTTGACGTCAGGAGAGGAGATGCAAACTGGAGAGAAAGAGCAGTAAAAGATAATTATACAGGAAAAAATATTTGTACTGTAATACAGAAAATGCAGCGTATGTTGGATGTGCCGGGCTGAACATTTCTGAGGAGGCAGGAGGGGAAGCGTCAGAGTTGGCGCAGCGCAGAGGGACGATGGGAGGCAGCAAACACGCTTCAGGGTAACAGTGTCATCTCTAAAGCCTTTCCTCTTTTGCAGTACCTGCACTCTGGGTTAGTCTTCTAGCTGCCATCCTTGTGAAATGGGTGTTACTCTGTCACAAACAACACAAAACATATTGCAGATGCTTGTAGCAATGAAAAATACCAAAAGTAAAGTTCAAGAAAATGCAAGTGTTAATAACTACTAGCACCACGCCTGGAAGCGAGATTGCCAAAGCCCAGAAGGGTCCAGATATGCACTTTACATCAAGAAAACCACTTGGCTTTGAGAATCTCAACTCCCATTGCACTATACTAGGGTAGAGGGAGGTCTCTTGGCATTTGGGAGGCAAGCAAATGGTATTTCTAGGAGACAAAACAGCTCATGTATTATTAAAATAATTAAGAAATAGAAAACAA